GGATTTGCAAATTAAACAGTTGCAGAAAAGCAGGTCTGCCCTAACTCCCATCCAAGCCAGCCACACAGGGAGGGCTTGTCCTGTTTCTTCCTAGTTCGTACTCCCAGGTGCTTTCCTGACTGTTGGGCAGAGGAGGGAACCCACAAGGCTGTACCCAAATGCAGAGGAAGCCTCAAACCCAGTGTGTATGCTACACAACCTGATGAATCAGCGCACTGAAACCCACATGCTGTACCACGTTATGGAAGATGGGGTGGGGGGGGAAGGGAGAGAAGGGGAGGGCAAGGCAACAGATAGTGTGAGTAACTTGCATCATGTGGATGCAGTTGGCCGATGGCTTTTATTGTCCTTGTACCACACAATGACCGTTGTATAATTTTGAAATAAAACTTTTTCAGTGAACCTCTGGGCAGCCACACTGACTTGCAGGGCTTGGCAGGAGACAAAATACTGTATTTAGAAAAAGAGCTTACAGACATTCCTTGTCATTATTAAATCTAGCTTGCCTTAATCTGGAATTTATAGACCGATACTACATGTACACATTGAATTTCCATGACATCTGTGTCATAGGAAAGGAGCTCTATTACTAAGTATGCAAACTTGCAAGTGTCCAGCATCTTTAACACTGCACAGACAGGAGGACCTACTGCCCTCCCCTGCTGTGACATTCAACTGGGCAGCAAACAGATCTATTAGATAGCCTTGCTGACTGCTCAACTGAAAGCTTCTTTGGCTGGGATACAGTCAAAGGAAACAGGAGGAAAAAGAAAAGCAAGAACCTGTAGCTTCAGTCAACACAAAGCTAAGTCTTAGAAAATCTGGCAAGGTCTCACACTGCTGGCCTGTGTTCTCCCACTTCTGGAAAGGGATTAGCATGCTGGCTATCCAAGCAACCATCTGCCACTCAGCCACAAGCAAAGAAAGCTGCAGATATCTCCCCTTTTCCCTACACCAAAACAGCATGTCTTGGATAGGCAAGTGCATACATCCATGTGCAAATCCCCAGAGACTGAATAAGGACCAGGTGCTTGAGGGATCACAGCCTTTTTTACTGCAGAAAACTGCAGCATCCACCCCCAGCACCAATCTTGGCAGTCTTACAACACCATCAATCTACAACAGCATCATTGCAAGCAAGTTAAAAGCTATTTCAAATCTTCCAGAGCCTTTCTTACTCCCAGACTGTCTTGCTACAAACGTGTTTTTTTTTTTTTTTTATCGTTGAGAGGACTGCAGTTTAATGATACCAGAAACTGAAACACTGAACTAGTAAAGCTGTCCACTGTAAGATGTGTGCAGGAACCTGAAATCAGACTTGTTCTCTGGGACCCTGAGACAGCACAGCTGTTTCTACCGAACCTAGCCAGCATCCCAGGCAGCACTCTGCCAGGCCAGCTTTCCAGGAGCCTCATCAGAGATGCCAGCAACAGGAAGGCTGAGGCTCATGCTCACACACTGCCAGACAGACTAGTTCCTGATGCTGTCTGAAATTCCAGTCCTTAAGTTGCCTGCCTAGTTCCTACAGAGAATAGCTTGTGTTGGAAGGAACATTAAAAGCCCTCTTCCATGGGCTGGCTGCCCCCATACCAGGCTGTTCAGGCTCCCATTCAGCTTGACCCTGAATACCTTCAGGAACAGTGAATCCACAGGATGCTCTGGCCAGTTGGTGCCAACGCCTCATCACTCCCTAAGAAAAGAATTTCCACCTAGCATCTAACTTAAATTTCCCCTCTTTGTTTAAAGGCCTTTACCCTTGTCCTATCCCTACCAGATCCTGCAAAAAGTCAGTCTCTCCCTACTGTTTGAAAGCTCCCCTCAAGTACTGAAAGGCTACAAGGATGTCCCCCCAGAACCTTCTCTTCTCCAGGCTGAACACCCTCAGCCTGTCTCCATGGAGAAGTGCTCTACCCTCTAATCCACAGCCCCACGTCTCTCCTGTGCTGGGGGCCCCAGGCCTGAATGCAGTGCTCCACACAGGGTCTCACAAGGGCAGACAGAGGGGGACAGTCCCCTCCCTGCCCACTGCCCCCTCTGTTGCTGCAGCCCAGAGGACTGCTGGCCTTCCAGGTTGTGAGCACTCATTGCTGGCTCCTGTCCTGCTTTTCATTCATCAGGAGCCCCACATCCTTCTCTGTAAGGCTGCTCTTAGTGATTTCTCTTCCCATCTGTACACTTATCTGGAACTGCCCTGACCTAAATGCAATAGAAAATGGGACACTGGATGTAAAGGCACTATTCCTAAGGGAAAAAAAAATTGCAGGTTTGTATAATTTCAGTTAATGAAACAAATGAGTTCCAAGCTGCTCAAAATGCAAACAAAAAGCTCGTGAACATCACTATCTCTTGTGATATGCATAACAGTGTCCTCCTCTAACGGCACTAGACTTCAAGAATATCAGCCTGTAAGTTAATCACGTGCTCATATTGACTTCTCTAGCCACAGGGCTTCCACCAGACCACAACAGACAAGAACAGCACCAACACTCTGCATACAGCAATGGAACAGAAGAGAGAAACATCCCTGTCTACCTAATCTAATTCTCAATTTAAGGGATCTACCCATGCAACCCTACAGCTCATTAAAGCCAGTTTGCAATAGAGCAACAAATTAAGAGACTGTCTATTCAAGCCTCAAAGGAAGATAAGTTTTTCCTCAAGCATTTAAATGTATATGCACTTAAATGCTTAGGACAGGTCTGAAATCTACATACACACAAATAAATGTACTTTTTTTCCCCACGTAACGTGTGAATGCCTACCACAAAGCTTCACAGAATCACAGAATACAATGAGTTGAAAGGCACCCACAAAAGGGTCACTGAGTACAATTCTTGGCTCCACAGAGAACCACTCAAAACTCCAATCCTATTTCGGTGGTCCAAATGCATCTTAAACTCAGGTAGACTTGGTGCCCTCATTCCACATCACCATGGACAAAGGTTACTTCTCCCTAACAGGAGATATGAAGCTCTTCTCCATAGCCCTGAAAGCCACACAGCAAACATCTCTCAGTAGTAAGGGAAACTGAAACACAGAGGTGACAAAAGCATTTAGTAGAAAACACAGTAATACTTCAAGTGAAGCCTGAGAGATTGCAACTGCTTTGGACATTGCTAAACAAGCTCCCCTCCTGGAAGCCTTGGAGAAAGACTGCAATGTAATTGTCGGTGGACTCCAAACATCTCTCTAGAAATCAGCATCTTGTCCCCACTCTGTTTACATCAGGATCTGCTAAGTTCACTCCAAAAGGTAACACAAGCTGAAAGAAATGCAAAGAAATTCCTTCCATACCAAAGATTCAGGCTCTTCCTGAATATACCTTGCAAAAAAGAAAAGCACCTCCACAAACACTGTCTTTTGTGATTTTATTAAGAGATGTTTTCAGGACAGTCAAGCTTCTGGTTGCAGATGTTGTAAACCCTACAACAACAAAAAAAACAACAAACAAAAAGACTGAGTGAGATGGTGGCAAATCATTTCCTATAGCTATTTTCCTACCCAAAATGCTGAACAAGGCAACTCCAAGTGTTCCAATTATATCTCTCACTTCCTACATTTTAGCCAATGACCTCCCCCTACATGAGCAAGTTTTGCTAGTCAGATCCCCTTGTTTCACTGCAGCCCTGCACACTCCCTGAACCCTTTTTGTTCTCATGAGGAGTTTCAGTCAAAGCACAACCCAGGCTGGCTTTCACTAGCAGCTAAGGAAGCCTTCTGGGGAGGCTTTAGGCCCTGTGCCCCCTGTTGCCCTCCTTAGAGAAAACAGGCAGAACTTTTAAAAGCACCAAGCTGCATATTTTCATCAGTGAAAACCCAGAGAATTTCCATCTATTAGTTTATTATAGAAGATACTCACTAGGAAAGACAGGAGTTCAAAACTCGATGATTGACTAATGAAACTAATCTAACATCAAGCTTGATGTACTGGCTTCTAAGAGTCAAACCTCAACTGGATAACAGTACAATCACTGCTTGAAAAGTAGCATTAAAACAGCTAAAGCACTGAGCCCTTCTCAGACAAATGCCTCTAAGTCTCTCAAATTCTGACCCAAGGTCCCCAGATCCATGATGTAGAACACAGCATGCAGCAGGGTGCTTGGACAAGGATATTCCCTTTCAGACTCGTCATCACATCTTCATGGAAGGGAATGCTCAGTGTGCAGTTAAACTATGTCTGCATGAATAGTTCACTCCTGCTGCTCACAGGCACTCACCTCTCAGGCAGTGGGAACTGGCTGCGGCATGGCTGGCTGTTCTGGTTTTCCACCTTTCTGCTCTGAAATGGGGGTGGTGGGCAAGATCTCTTCTTTGGGTTCCACAATGCTGACATGATCTGGAAGAGGCTTTTTGGGGCCAATCTTTCCACTTGGGTCCCATGGCAACATAATTTTGACTTTGATTCCAAGTACACCTGCAAAAAGGGACAGAACATTAAAGATATGCTCACTGGATACAAAGTTACAAAAGTAAGCTATCTGCACCAAAACCATTTCTCAACAACTCCGAACTGATGGAAGCTAATTAAAAATTTTAGCGAGAGCCATTGGTGATAGGTGGATGGTTGGACTGGATGATCTTATAGGTCTTTTCCAACCTTAGTGATTCTGTGATTCTGTGAAAGTGATAAAGCTTAAAAATCTACTTAATGTAAACTTACATCAGTGTGTTCATCTCTGTTAAACTCACTGCCTTTGCTAAATGCAGTCTGGGATGACTATGATGAAATCATTCTATAACTTGATTCTTTACTATGAGAGTGGTGAGGTGTTCAAACAGGCTGCCCAGAGAGGCTGTGGATGCCCCATCCCTAGAGGTGTTCAAGGCCAGGTTGGACGGGGCCCTGGGCAGCCAGGGCTGGTATTAAATGAGGAGTCTGGTGGCCCTGCATGTGGCGGGGGGGGTGGATGATCCATGATCCTTGAGGTCCCTTCCAACCTGGCCATTCTGTGATTTTCCTGGGACAGCTCAGCTGGCCAGTTGCACCATATTCTGGTATCCCTTCTCAGACAAATGCCTCTGAATCAACCAATGAGGAGGACATCCTGCCCAAGGCAACCTTAGCACAGCACCACAGAACGTGGCACTGACCAGGCTGTGCTTGGCACAAGGACATCCCTTCTGACTCGTCATCGTATCATCACTGAAGGGAGGACAGAACAAGTTTGCTTATGCTAATCTTTTTAAATCTAGTGCTTTGAAATGCCTATTAAGATGCAGAAGTCAATTGTGTTTTACTGGGAAAGCACAAGGGGATGAAAGCTGGCTTGTCTGGTTTAGCTGGAAGACTTGAAAGAGTGCACCTATAGTGGGAAAGCTGTCAGTGATGCTTGCTTGCTTTTTTGTGGGTCTGGTTTCCCTGGGAGCAAAGAGACAGAATCCAGCAGCTCTTGACCACAGTCACTAAGTGTACTTATAAGATGTTTTGCTACTAGGCTCAGAAGCCATGGAACACAAATGAGCATCTTCCCCCTGACATCCAACCTCAATCTTCCCACATTCAACTTCAAACCATTTCCCCTTGTCCTGCTGTTATCTCCCCTTTCCAAGAGCTGACTCCCCTCCTGTCTGTAGGCTCCCTTTAGGTCCTGAAGGCTGCAGTGATTCACCCCACAGCCTTCTCTTCTCCAGGCTGAACAAGCCCAGCTCCCTCAGCCTGTCTTTGTAGGGGAGGTGCTGCAGCCCCCTGATCATCTTTGTGGCTCCTCTGGACCCTCTCCAACAGCTCCCTGTCTTTCTTGTACTGGGGGCTCCAGACCTGGATGCAGTGCAGCAGATGGGGCCTCACGAGGGCAGAGTAGAGAGGGAGTGCCAGCGATTGAGAGCTGCTGGCTCCAAAGCACTGATACAAGAGGCCAACAAAGGGATCTGCATCCCAGCCACTCACCTTGCCGGAGCAGGACATGACGCACAGCTGTGTCGACGTAGTAGTTCACTGGGTCTCCACTGTGGATCATCAAACCATCCACAAACTTCATGGACTTGGCACGCTGACCCCTGAGTTTGCCAGACACAACGACCTCACAGCCCTTGGCACCGCTCTCCATGATGAAGCGGAGGACACCATAGCAGGCCCTGCAGGTAGGGAGCAGAAAGAACTGCATCAGTCCCACTGGTTTGGGATATCTCTGCCAAATCCAATGGCGTTTTGCAGCGATTTCAAACCTAGACAAACACATTTTAACAACTGCCTTTTTCAAAGCTACAGTCATGCAACCCAAGCTCTGTCAGTGCTAGACAAAGTAGCAGAAAACTTCATACTGTTTTGGCACTATCAAATCAAGCCTTACAGGAGTACTGTGAATTACGTACGGACCTTGTGAAGTTGTGAGCACAGTGACAAGCACAAGCTCTCTGGCAGTCAACCCACCCACATCACGAGTGCAGCCCCTATCCCTTCTCAGACAAATGCCTCTAAATCATTCATTGACAGGATGCTCCTGCTGAAGAACCACAGGCAGCAGCACAGAACATGATACTGCAGGGGCACCACTCAGCAGGAGCCATCCTTTCTGACTCGTCATCTTATCATCACTGAAGGGATCTGAGAAGCAAGGCCACTGTCATCTGAACCATGATTCAGCCACTTGAAATTGTGTTTTACTCCTCCATTTACCCACCATTCATTCACACACAAATAAACGTGAACTTCATGCACATCAGTCACACAACTTCTAATCTCATCTGATCGACTCTTTGAAAAGGTAGATAACAGCAGGACAAGGGGAAATGGTTGGAAGTTGAGGGAGGGGAAACTGAGGTTGGATGTCAGGGGGAAGTTTTTTGCTCTGAGAGCAATGAGGTGCTGGAACAGCTGCCCAGAGAGGCTGTGGATGCCCCGTCCATCCCTGGAGGTGTTCAAGGCCAGGTTGGATGGGGCCCTGGGCAGCCTGGGCTGCTCTGAAATGTGGAGGTTGGCGGCCCTGCATGTGGTGGGGGGTTGGAGCTTCATGATCCTTGAGGTCCCTTCCAACCCAAGCCATTCTGTGATACTGTGATCTAATCCAGGACCTCAACATTTATTTTGGAATACAGTGTCTAGCAATTACTACCAGAAGTACCTGTATACTAAATGAAAAGCTTTTATCTATCACAAAAGCTAACTGCCCTCTGCAAGCAGAGCATTAGTAGGTTACATTTTCAAATTCAAGACATCTCAATTGCTAAGTGATTCCCCGAAGCACTACTGGAGTCCTACAAAGCCTCACTGGGGCATTACATTCAACATGCTCTACTCACCGACGCACTGCTAAGCCTCCCAGAAGCTTGTACCTCAGGGACTCTGCCTGGGCGATGGCACACAGACCTCTGGTGGCCACCTTCTCGGCATAGAGCTGAAAAAATAAGTAGCAAACTCAGAAACGCCTTTATTTCCAGATGATTTTCATTAAATGGAAGTCAAGAGCTTCATATCACTCCACGCCCCCTCCCTCAGACCCATGCTTACAAGCAGAAGCTGGATCTTCAGACAGGAAGAGACAGAACCTGAGAACCAGAGCTGGGACAATGAGGTGCACTTAATCTAACATCCCTAATAGCCAAAGTCAATAGCTGAGAAGGAGATCTTCATAAACTACAAACATAATAGCACCAGAGCTAACGATACAAATGCTTGAAGAGTTATTAAACAGTTTCTGGAGAGAATCAGCAGTTGTGTACCGTGATCCAGCAACACTGCTTGAGTAGAAATAAATGTGAAGGGCACCCCAAACCACACATCCCCCCTCTCATAAATTACTTTGGAGGGAACTACTAGCAAGGCCACCAGACTTCAACCATTAAAAAGGCATCAGGAAATATTGTTATCTCTATTGTCTAATTCATTCCAGTATCATACAAAAGTCTCAAAGATAGTTCTGCACCTGAACAGCTTCTTTCTATGGGCAAAAGCATTAAGAATTTAATAAGGGCCATGGCAATGCATCAATTCCAAAAACTATGCTGTTAGATTGACCTCCCTCCTCAATACTGGCACAGAAATACTCCCTACAAAATATTTTTAGAGAAATGTATCAAGTTTTACCTGCTTCTGTGCTCTTACTTGCTTGGAAAGCAAAGAAAACCAGACAAACTGAGAGCACCCAAAATAGCTGACAGCAAAGCGATATTCCTCTTTCAGTGCAACATTGTTTTGTGAGAACAGGTAAAACATGCCCCGAGTTATCCTAAAGTCAGATCACCTCTCAGCTGAAGCCATCCAGACACACACACAGCCCACGGCACAGCTCACTCAGAGCTGTTTTAACTGAGGCAGTTTTACCTCAACGCTTCCCTCAGGGAAGCCAAACCTCTTCTGCACAACAGCCGTCAGCTCCCGGATGCGACGTCCCTTTTCACCCAGCACATTCTGGGTTCTGGGGGGAAAAAAAAAACACAGTATGATTGAGGGAATGTCACCATATCAGAGCCTGCAACCATCCCAAGGAGCTTCCAGACTGAGCGGCTAACCTTGCTCAGGCTGGTCATTAGCAGGGGTTGTAACACTGCTGTTTTACTGAAGCACCTTCTTCCCAAATACCTCAGCCTAATAATGTTTAGCAAACTTCAGCAACAGCCCTTAAAGACTTGCACAGCGTTCTTAGGTGGACAGCAGTGTTTTGGTTACCTGGTGGCAAGTATGATAATCTCAGTCCTGGTTGGAGTAACCCGGACTTCTACTCCAGAGTACCCATCTTCAGCCAGTTCACGAGTCAGAAACTCATTCAGTTCAGCTTTGAAGATGCCATCGGCGACAAACTATGAAACAAACAGACCGAGTAAGTACATCATCCCTCCCCCCCAAAAAAAAACCAAAAGAATTTGACATTTTAAGTCTGGGTCCCCGGCCTGTCCTGCAGTCCGACAGCTTCTCTCTCCCAGAAGAAAAAACAGAAGTGAGGGTGAAATAAAAACATCCTAAAGCTCTCAGAGATAAATCACCTCCAGTAAAAGCCAATACCAAAGCCTGATTAATGCCCCAAAACAGCCACAGTTCAGGGTAGACAGTGAAATATCTTGTTTCTATGTCTTGCAGAAGTACTTTGATGAAGTGTGAGTTTGCATGAACTCACTGCAGAACTCGTATCCCCTTAGAAGCTCCACAGGTGCCTCAAATCCTGCTAAGTCTCCTAAAGTATGCCCTAAGCAAGTTTGCTGATGGCACTAAGCTGAGAGGTGTAGCTGACACAGCAGAGGGGAGAGATGGCAAACAGATGGACCTGGACCAACTGGAAAAGTGGGCACACGTGAACTGAAGGAGGTTTGACAAGGCCAAGTGCAGGGTGTTGGACTGGGGCAATCCCAGCTAAGAGCACACACTGTGAAGAGAACACCTTGAGAGCTGCCCTCTCAAGAAGGGTGTGGGGGTTCTGGTGGAGAAAAGCAGGACAGGAGCCAGCAGTGAGCATTCACAGCCTGGGAGGCCAAGAGTTCCCTGAACTGCAGCAACAGAGGGGGCAGTGGGCAGGGAGGGGACTGTCCCCCTCTGTCTGCCCTTGTGAGACCCTGTGTGGAGCACTGCATTCAGACCTGTGGCCCCCAGCACAGGAGGGATGTGGGGCTGTGGAATGAGATCCAGAGGAGGGCATGGGGATGCTCAGAGGATGGAGCACCTCTCTATGGAGACAGGCTAAGGGAGCTGGGGGTGTTCAACCTGGAGAAAGGAAGGCTGTGAGGAGACCTCACTGCAGCCTTCCAATACTTGTGCAGAGTTTCTAAGCAGGACAGAAAACGACTTCTTACATGGTCTGACAGGGACAGGACAAGGGAGAATGGTAACAGACTAAAAAAAGGAAGATTTTGGGTAGATGTTAGCAGAGAATCCTTGACTCAGAAGGTGGTGAGATGCTGGCGCTGCTTCCCAGAGAGGCTGTGGGTGCCCCATGTCTGGAGGCATTGGAGGCCAGCTTGGATGGGGCCCTGGGCAGCCTGGTCTGGTGGGGGACAACCAACCTATGGCAGCGGTTGGGGCTGGGCTGGGCGGGTTTTAACTTAGCTTCCAACAATTCTAACGACTCCACGACAAGTCAAACACAACCCATGTTCTGTGCACACAAACATACCGTCACTAAAGCCAAACTCCGCATTATAAAACAACGAAAAATCACCTTCCAGCCCTGCCCTGCCGCCCCTCAGCACAACACACAGAAGCTCCGAGCCCCGTGTGCGCCC